TGTGCGCAAATGGATGCTCAGTTTGGGACACCATTGACATTAAATTGGTAACCAGACTGAACAGGAAGCAGAATTTTCTTGAGAATGTTTGCTCTTCATATACGGGCAGCAAACGTATAATGGGCTCTTGCTTAAGCAAATCCGCTATTTATAGATGCATCAAATTTTCAAACTGCAACACAGCAGTCACACTCCAGTAAGGGCGACCGCGTTGCGGATGTAATCATGCAAAAACGTATGACCGTGCTAGCTGATCGTGCGCGCCGTTACTGATTCTAAGATTCATTTCTGATTCTGGCTTTCAGAAGACACTATCGTTTCGCACACGTTTCGCACACAAATGCTGCAAAAGCGCGTGATCGCACCACAAAGCCTTTTGCGCGTTGTTACCTGAGTTTTTTTCTTTTTTTTTATTGGCAGAATCTTTTAGCAAGTGTTTGCAGAAAAAAAGCCTGGTGCTACAGGGAAACATGCAAGCCTTGTTCATGAGCTGGAAACAAAGGAATTAATGAGAGCTGAAAGAGAGCAGACAATAAGCTTGCCAAGATTATACGAAACAGATTCCATCATCGGGCACGAAGAAATCCAGATATGATTTGGGATGCCGAGATAGTGGATCACGCCGATACCACACAAATCAAGTTGTTCGCTGAAGCCAACCGTAAAGTTGTAGGCGCGTAACTGCTCCAGTTCCGACCTGCGCTGCAATATACCTGCATCAAAAGCCACTGAGTTCGTTTCAGCGCATTTGTTAACATGGGAGAAAAATATGAACTCGTGAAGCACGCCGGTGAATTGAGAGAGACCTTGCAATCGCCACATCTTATGCAGCATACCGAGTACAGCAAACTTTGAGTGTATGAGTCACTGAATGAGGGAATGCTTTTCCTTTCCTTGATAATGGCTTGTGAATCCATAAAATTATTTATGAAACTGCCAAGTCCCATTACAATAATTTAATTTATGCTGGAAAAGCCAAAAAGTGCTTGTGATGCGCAGAGCTTATTTAGATTCTACATTCCTACTTGCGTGTTCTTTTACTTAAATGTTATTTACTTTCATCTACTTGTAGCTACTTAACAACCGTGCTTGTGTTAGGATCACTCTACCCAGTCAAGGTCAGCTGCTATAAAAGTAGGATCAAAGTGTTGATATCATATTGCATATAGGCTGTTAAATAATCCTTACCTTTTTAAGGCGTTTTTGTTTCACAGTCGAATACAGAAACACAAAGAGAAAGCGTGTGCATAAATGGCGGCGTGAACCAGGGCTGTTGGTGCGATTGTGTGCTTTTTACACAACCAGTTATAAAATTGTTAGGAAATTCATACAACATTAGTTTTAGGCACATTGTAGTCCAACTGGTCTGGCCACCGAGTTCCAAAAACTGCGGGCGTCAATTCCACGTGTCTGCATGTGAAGCTAGTTCGTTTGCTACGTTACACTCAGTTAATGACGCATCGGGCTTGCCAATGTGAGCACACGTTTTCGCAGTAAACTTGAAGCATTCTGATTGTTAACAGCATGAATGGTCGCTGCTTTGCAGTTTAACGTGGGGACCGTGTTACCTCCGTTTTAGCTCTTTTTTGCTTGCAAGGAAAATGGCGTCGACTCGAACAGCACTGCTGCACGAAAGAGTCGTAGAGCCACCAGCAAGCGTGTAAATTTTCGCGTGAATAGAATTGAAACATGGAGTCGCACGATCCTCCAGGATGCACGATTTTAAATTTTGCATGAAACAGTCGTTTTCACAATGGGCGGCGTTTCATCGAAAAACTCAGGCTGAAACGGATCAGGCTCTCCGATGCTATCATGCGTTTTTGCACTAAACTCGCAGATCGCTATTAGCAAGAATGACGCCTACGTTGTAGCCTAACACTTGGGTCTTATTGGCCGTGTTTTTGCCCCTTCTGGCATACAGGAGGAACGGCCTCAGTTGGAATGAAGGTGGTGCATTATAGAGCCGCGCGGACATCCAGGTGTATGATTACCGGTTTTTTGCATGAAGACCGGGCGTTTTTCCGGTAAATGCTCGCTTTGTGAAAAACGACAAATGCAAATTTTTTGAAAAAATGCAGAT